AATCTGGGGGGGTGGGGGGGGGGAGTGAAAAGGTTAATTGAGGGCGGCTTGGAAGTGACGTTGAATTTTTTCGAGAATCGATCTGATTTCCGATCCCTGATATGGGTAGCTGAATTTAAGTTGTTGTACCAGATGGCCAAGCAACAGTGGCGTATTTTTGGGGGTGGGCCATTGAACCATGTCCCCTACCCCCTCTAGCCTGTATTGAAAGGTCTAATTTAGTAGTGGAAACTTAGCCATCTAAATGCTCAGGCCATCAGAAATAGGTTGGCTTCTGTAGGCCTCTAACAGTCCAAGATCCCCTGCCTCAGGTAAGGACCTTCGCCTCGGAGAGACACTGACTTATCATTTTAAGTTTCCCCTGAGGCATTGATATTCTAGATTCGTCCCTGTCAAGTATAGTGCTAAGCAATTATTTAAAATTTAGATAAACAACTTACAAAAGCGGAAATTTGCATGGACTTGATATATTATTGATTGCATTTTTAAGGAGTTCTACCTCCGTTTAGTACTTATTTGCGTTTTAAATTTCCAATTCATTGAACCAAGCGTTGGGTTTACATTATGAAAAGTGGTAAGGACAGCAGAAAAACGACAAGGAAGCCCCATATATATAATTACTTCGGACTTAATCCGTTTAATACACCTGAAAAGAGGAACTCTTATTTTATCTCCACTTAACGAGCAGTTGTAATGATTGGTTGGTTTAAAAGTTTTACAATCGGTGAAACCGGGAAGTAACCCCTTTTAGCAGTACAGTTGTAAGCGGAAGATATACTATAGATAAGACATGAGAACGAACAAAAGTTCTTATCTCATTAAATATAATATCTACTTATCAAAACGTAGGGTCAAAATGGCCCATTTAAATCTCGGGGATGACCCCCTATTTACAGTCAGGTTACACATTTTGGCCAGAAAGATAAAAGGTAGAATAGAACTTACTTGAACTAAACTTTCTGATCTCAGAACCTACAGTTGCAACAGGCATAGTTCTATATGGATATATTGCGATATCACATGCCGCGATACGCGTATTGTATCGTGTGGTTGTATATTGATATTTTACTGTATTTTCTCCCGAAATCAAAAAAACAGTCGAGGGTTAAACTCAGGTGAGGAAACAGGAGCATTACAAAATATTCGGAAATGGATTCATAAATGGTTCAGCTTTGAACCTATTTCAAAAGTTTTGCACAATTTGGCTCTTGTCATGATGAAAATGGAATGCAGAAATCACAATCGTATGACATGTCCGAGGAACGGATAGGGCCAGTTTTGTCGGGCTACCAATAGACAATATAACTATCTCGAACCCCATCTTCACAAGTTATGGTGGGCCTATAACGTATTGCGTCTTATACGTTTTTCTTGTACCACGGAAGTTTGTAAATGCAGACATTTGATTGGTTTGTGCAATAGAAAATTCAGACTAATCAATATTTGTTTACATTCTTTCTGATAAGAGATCCAGTGTAAAACCTTTTATGTTTATTTTTTATTTTGAATCAGATCCGGATGTGTATATTTATATCAATGCTTGACATACAGATTGCCTTATAATAATTTATTTTTCAAGGGGGGTAATTTCAATTTTCTTTTCAATGTAGTCCAGTGGTTCCCAACCTTTTTCAGCCTACACACCCCTGGAGTAATCATTTGAACCCTTCACACCCCAAAAACAATGGACATTCAAAACATTGTAAATTTTCTTATTTTTATTCAAACTAATCATAATAATCACATATAATAATGGATATACAATCATGCGGCCGCAATAAGATGCTCCATGGGAAGGCTATTGCTGTTTTCTTTGGAACTATTAATATCCGCCTACAACAGTTGTCCACACCCCCGACACCCAAGTCCCACACCTCCAGGGGGGGTCAGAATACTCCAGGTTTGGGATAAGGGATGTAGTCATGATTAAATTAGTCAACAATTAAACTTAAGAATACATCCCAGTCAAGGTTTTCTCGCCAATGGGTAAGAGGGGAGCAATAACGAATTCTTGGCACTTTCTGCCTTATCCTGTGATATTTCATGTTCCTTTTTGTTCTAAAGAGTAGAACGTAAAACTCCATTCATTTCATTTCTTTTAGCAACGACAGACCTACAATATTAGGCTATCCACCTCATAAAAGAACATGGTGTTTTCATTGTGGTAGTGTTACAGGCAGAAAAAAATAACGATTGGAAAACGAATTTGATCAAAATTGGTCGCTTTATCCCGTTCCCTGCTTACACATGATTTTTTAAAACTGTCTAAATACAAAACATATCAAAAGTGAATCACGATTATAGAGGATGGGTACATTTAATCGTCCGTTTGATCAACAATTTCAGTCGAATACGGTCAACGGGACATAATTTCATATTGATGTGGTTTGTAATCTTCAGCATTTAATCGTCCGTTTGATCAACAATTTCAGTCGAATACGGTCAACGGGACATAATTTCATATTGATGTGGTTTGTAATCTTCAGATTTCCTATTTACAATTATGACATTATTGTTGTCTGAAGTCCTAGAGGGGAGGTAATCTTTCTTTACTTCCGGTATAAACAAAACACTCCACGTGCATTTGTTTATCAAATAATTATCACAGAAAAACAATGTTTCACACAATACGTAAAGTAAAAGTAAGTACTTAGTTTTGTGGTTAAAGTCATGGTTTTGTCTGCATAATCTTGGTACGCCAAGATCTTCGGCACATTTTCATATGATGATACTAAACTCATTTTGCGACTGTACTGTGAGTGTTTTCATTATTTACAATTTATCATACATAAGAATAGAATATTAGTCCAAAACATCTGCCTCTATTCCAGCCTCTGAGAGTTATTTTGACAGTTATTGACTGATGTAGCTAAGCCCAGTTTTAATAAAACTTTTATGGGGATTTTCCACCTCCGAAGTTGTGTTTTTTATATCAAAATATTTACTCTTACGGTGACTGTAAATAAGTGACTGTAAGTGTGAATTAGATATTTCAAGATATAATCATAGTTGGTCTTCTGACTCTCTGCCAATGGCGTTTAGAGACAGGATGTTTTGGTCTGGTGAATTAGTGTTGGGTATTATCATAAGAGTTATAAATAGATGGGTATCATGCATCACTATATCACAGCTTCACAGAATGTAGTGATTTTCCCATTTTTAAGTATCGATCAAAGATTAACAGGTTTTCAGTTAACAGGTTTTTTAGTTAGGTGATAAATACTTTCAATTGTGGTGGAATTGACCAGGATTGAAAAAGAGGTGGAGATTGCTTTGAAAAGAACTCTGGCCCTACACTGGTGTAGCCAATGTTTGCCAGTTTCACAACACAACAGTAGTGTCAGGAGGCGACTGATAACTAATACTGATAGCCAGATTCTTATGCTATATTAATGAATTCTTTTCTTTGTAGAAATACAGGAAACTGTTAAAAACTGGTGGAGTTAGAAAACGTAAAAAGTTACGAGGAACTGTCACAAAGAGAGATTTTATAGCATGTGAAAATCCAGAATTTCTCAGTAAAGAACAGACCAGAACAAGAAGGTAAATAAAATAAATTGAAATTAATGTCATAAAAAAATCTGTACAAGCAAATCAATAATAACCCAAAAAGGCATGACAAAAGTGGTAGCAATAAATGTATTGTAGTGGACTCCTCAAACTAGAAGTACCCTCAAGTGTTTCAAAATGAGTAAGCATGGTCTGCTTCATGCACGATATTATACACACGTTCGATTAAGCAAGAAAGTCATTAAGTCTACATTCTGTTCCTTATTAGCCAAGGAGACATGCAGTGTACAATGAGGGAAATTTTGCCAGGACGGCGGCATTAGCCGGCTCTTTTTCAATTTCCAACTGTCGAGGGATCCTTAACGTGCACAGTCTGTAGCACACGGGGCCTCGGTTTATTGTCCCATCCAAATGACAAGACGCTTTTTCCATGTCATCCCCTCTTACCTGCATCACTGACAGGGGGAAATCGGGTTGAAAAAAGGTATTATCTCGACCTATGCCGGGATTGGACAAAGATATTACGAGTGGGATACAAATTCCATATTTGTTAGAGGTTAATGCACAAGAATTTTACATCATGGAAATGAAAGCTGTAATTGCTACCGATACATACACCAAGAAAATCCTAAAAAAGCACTTCTTTAATATATGGCCTTGTCAATTTACACAGCAAATATTATTGTGTATTAACAGGCTAAATAAAAGTGTGAATGTTTCTGGTAAACGAAGAAGAAAAATGATGAAGATATTAAGTAGACAAGCATTACCTACAAGATCCACAGGATCTGCACCAGGTTGGTTTTTTCATTAGTGTTAGTCTGTTAGTTGGATTGTAAAGAGATTTTCTAATGTTTTCAGGTATTTCAGGTGTATAAGAGACAGTCATAACATTGATTTGCACAATTCCGATCAGCTTTTGTGATAATGAAGTCATATATAGCCTTTTTATGCTAGCTGGATACAGAGATATCCTTAAAAAAATGGGAATGATGCTTAATTCAATTTAAAAAGCTAGAAAACATATAATCACTTTTAATTTTGTCAAAAAATGAAGCCTCTTTTAAGGTTTGGAGCACAAGGACATTGTAGAATATATGGCAATATCTTGATGGTTTCCTCATATGTCGGACATTTCTTTGTATTGCAGAATTAATGACGAGTTCACAGTCCAAAAAGCAACCACAGAAGTCTAATAAAAGTAAAAAGAAAACTGGAAAAAAGAAAACAGAGCCTGTAGATTTATCTACTCCAGAAGACAGCGAGATGGAGGATGAAGAAATGCAAATGATGATGATGATAATGATGATGATAATGATGATAAAATTCAAGAAGAGATGAGTGAAGATGATAATTAAATATACATATTAAATTTACTATTAAAAAAGAATTAAAGAAATGTCTATGTGTGTTGTCTGTTTCATTTTCATCTTGAATGACCTTTGATGACTATTCAACCCTTCATTTACAGGGGCGTAGCTGTAACGTCTTAAGTTTTACTGATGAACACGGCAGGCTACACCCCTACTTTTTTCTCAATAGTTTATTATAGGTGAAAGTTTTAGATAACTATGGAGATTAATATTCCATGCAAGTTGGATGTAGAAAAGTCTGTTTATCATCATATACTATCAGTAGTGGACCATCACTACCATGCTTGTATAGGCAATGCTGTTTCTTGTTATTGAAGCCAATAAGTTTGCTGAGTCACTTGCTCACAGACCAAAAGGTCCACAGTTCAATCCTGGCATAGGTCAAGATAATACCTTTTTTTTACCTTCACCTTCAATGGAAAGAAGGCTACTAATCGTTCAGACGGGACAATAAACCCAGGCCATGTGTGCTACTGACTGCGCTCTAAAAGTACTTCAACGGTTTGAAATCGAAGAAGAGTCTAGCGCTGTCTTGACATAATTTCCCCCATTGAACACTACATGGCATTGCCAATCTGCACAAGCCCTATCAGCTGCAGAAAAGCATGACGTTAAACTCCAAGTTCTTTCATTCATATATTTACCAGTGCCCCATTCTCCCCAGTTGACGAATATCTTGTCTGTTCCAACCTGGGCTGTTGATTTGGTACTGTTTGCCTTCAATGTCGGTGAAATGCAAAATTTAATGACAACTCTTTACTGGAACTTCCAACAAATTCTACAAATTATGTTCAAAATAAATACAAATATCATTTGATTTGCTAAGCAATAATTTAATAAGTCAAGAATTATAATACATCAGCAACTATACATTATTATTATTATTTTGATATTGTTCAAATACTTTATCTTAATACTGTAGTCATTTAGAAGCAGATGTTAAAGTGGTTAGGACAAGAGGAATTATGATCTAACTTACTTAAAACTAATGCTAGCTGTCAATCAAACCATCACGTGATTGAGAAATTCTTAATGAAATAAATTTTCACTTTATAGAAAATTTAGCCAATGCTGATTGGATGAAAAAGAGGGTTAGGTACTAAGATTTAATAAATGACAAAAAAAGTATATCCATATGTCTTTTGCTCATTTAGGCCTACCTGGGCCTATTTCTATATTTCTTACAAACAGTACAATAAAGTGGCTGTGAATCAAGTCCAATTCTAATCACAACAAAACTATCTTAATCTTTTAAATATATATCACTCAGAGTGAAAGTTAAAGCAACCTTTGGTATGAAGTGTAAAAGATAAGCACTTCTATCTATAAGGATTTTACTATGATACATTAAAATTGTGTTCAAAGTGGTTTCCATCTTTTTATCACCAACAGAGACAATTTTATGTGATCAACTGGCCCTTTAAACAATCTGATTTAAATGCAGATCTTAATGGCTTTTTTTTCTGTGTGCAATCCATGTGCAATCCATGATTTGACAGAATATTGTTCTGTGTATGTTCTAGGTAATTTAAACTTTCAACCAATCAATGTTCTTTTTATATAAAAAATTTCCTACTGTATGTTAGGAATTCTGTGATATTTATTGTCAGCCACTTTCAAAATTGTATTTGTAATTTTGTCAGATCATGGTTGGTGATGTTGATTAATCAATGTACATGTAAACTGCAGAAAAAAACCCATATCATACACCCAGGTGTAAATTTAAATCAGATTGCCAGTAATGCTGTAGTATGTTATTAGGCCAATGTCATACTTCTGAGCTTCTCAACTTCTAAGCTCAGCAGGTTACATAATATTTTCTGTGTTCAAAGGTTCTACCAATGTTAAAAGCTAATTTTATGAATTCTTACATGTTGTATTTCAGTAATTCCATGAATAGCCTTATAAGAAAAGTACTATTTTTAAAAATTATAAATAAATTTGAGGAAATACATTTATCTGACTGGATATCATACCCTGATCACTTTTTAACACAACCCTTAAAGGACTAAGGTGATCAATTAATATCAGGTAATAATCTCGTTAATCTCATCAAAAATTCATTTTAAATTAAGTCTTATGAGCCAATCAAATTATACCTTTTCTCTAATCTGGATTACATAGTTGAGTTATAAAGATATTATCAAACAAAAACCACAAAACACTTCAGTAATTTTCACACTTGTATATGTATGGAAAGTGCGTAGATTTTGTGCATTAGATTTCACTGTAACATGACTGTTGATTTTGTTGTATGTGCTAGCCACTGCCAGGCAAGACTGCCTGGACGACAAAAATACCTGTCAACAAGGCTACATTGGATATTTAGTCTTAAGTTTATTCCAAGTATGATAAAGAGATTAAAATGAATTATAAAAAATAAAATAATTACGTAGATTGATTTCTCAAAAATATTTTATCACAAAATCTTGGACATTTCAAATCAGCAGAACGAGAACAAACAAATTATGTTCAATATTTGATTCCCAAAGGAAAAGGCCATAAAAAAATTATTCTTTGTTTCTTAGGCATGATAAATTTTAAAGAATTCCAACAAGAGGTGAATTTTTTTTGAATTCTACAAAGTCACCAATCTAAATCCCAATCATGTATGTGTTAACACTTTACATAAAACCTGTATCAATGTTAGCTGCCTTATTGAGTTTTTTTCTTGCAATGTACAACAAAAACTAAACATATGAGTTAGTCTGGGCAATCTAGTCTAATAAATAAACATCTTGAAATGATCAAGACTATGCCTACCAGTATATACCAAATAAGGAAAGCTGTAAGCTTTATCCAATCATATACATATCAACTTGCTAACGAGTTAATTTAAGAGTGCTATAATTAAACATTTGTCCAGTGGAAACTCCTTAAAATTTCATGGCAGCTACTTTTATTATTTATATTGTCAAAGTTCAAAGGAAAAAATATTATAGCTATGCTTAAGAAACAAAGACAGTCTTTGATATGGCCTTATATTGTTATTACATATTCTAGCTCTTGGGTACTTTGTTTTTCTTTCCTACAATTCCCATCAAATCTTTACTCATATAATACGGTTTTTCTGTTGAACCATCATTTCTCTCTAGATCTTCCACTGTAATAAAAAATATTACATATTTCTTTAACCCTTTGAATACTGGGTGTGTACTTAAAGCACATGACTGTTATATTAAGTGACTTCAATTGTTAACAGTTACCAAATTACTGATCTGTTAACTGTTAATGATCCACAAGAATGATTGACAGGTGAATATTGACCAATCGTCTTAAAATCAGCCGCCATGTTTTACCCAGAAACGATAAAGAAATTGATTTTTTAATGACCTGTGTCTATCTGACAAAATAGTTTTGATGAGTGGGGTACTTGCAAAGCAGACGAAAGATATCCAGACGGAAGGAGCTCGTTTTGTGTGGTTGTTTCTGGTGATTAACAACTGTATCTGAGTGGGCGGAGCATAAGCTGTTCTCGTGAATCACAAAAAGAAAAGCAAAAGAGATCCTCTATTCTTATATCTCACTGGACACTAATTATAAGAATACTTGGAACATAAGCAACACATTTTAGGGTAAAAAAATGCGCAATTTACTCACAAATATACAGTAAGTAAATTGTGAGTAAAATAGGTTTACTTACAGAAACATAAGAATAATGTATCTACAGCCATATTGTAAACACTGAAGAAACAAGAAGCTATCACATAGGTTCCCAGTACCACTATCTATTCAATATAAAATATTAATTATTGGCATTTTGGTTAATAAACCAAAAATGATTGAAACAATTTAGAGGGTGGTTAATATGAGAGTAAAATTACCAAAAAAGCATTGGCCACAGGTCTCTGTTATGCTCTGCCCTTCGCTGCATGACCAAAGATTCATTTTCATTGAAACTTCTCCAAGCGATGATTGCTAAGCAGTTCCACCACTTAAGACCACGACAAATGCATTTTGACCCTTATTCTAGATGAGAATTGATTGACCTCAATCATATATTTCAATTTTGAAAAAAAAATTAAAGTAGGTTTACTTACTATTATTGGTATAAAATAGAAGTTTAAGGTAGGTTTATATTTGTTTACTTACTATTATTGGTATAAAATAGAAGTTTAAAGTAGGTTTATATTGGTTTACTTACTATTATTGGTATAAAATAGAAGTTTAAGGTAGGTTTATATTTGTTTACTTACTATTATTGGTATAAAATAGAAGTTTAAGGTAGGTTTATATTTGTTTACTTACTATTATTGGTATGAAATAGAAGTTTAAGGTAGGTTTATATTTGTTTACTTACTATTATTGGTATAAAATAGAAGTTTAAAGTAGGTTTATATTTGTTTACTTACTATTATTGGTATAAAATAGAAGTTTAAAGTAGGTTTATATTGGTTTACTTACTATTATTGGTATAAAATAGAAGTTTAAGGTAGGTTCATATTTGTTTACTTACTATTATTGGTATAAAATAGAAGTTTAAGGTAGGTTTATATTTGTTTACTTACTATTATTGGTATAAAATAGAAGTTTAAGGTAGGTTTATATTTGTTTACTTACTATTATTGGTATGAAATAGAAGTTTAAGGTAGGTTTATATTTGTTTACTTACTATTATTGGTATAAAATAGAAGTTTAAAGTAGGCTTATATTTGTTTACTTACTATTATTGGTATAAAATAGAAGTTTAAAGTAGGTTTATATTGGTTTAAGAACTCGATTCTACCATCAAAGAAAAAGAATGCACCAGTGCCAGTTAAGGCCACAACAACCATTTTACAGATAAACAATAGGAAATCTGTCACTTGATCAATAACTACCACCCTGCAATCAAAAATAACATCATCAGCCTTGTGGACTCCCTTAATTTCAGAAATGCAGGTAGAAGGAGCTTACATGGCAAGCAGCTAGAAATATGAATGTGACAATAAAACCAAGGTGTTGAGTGATACAGGGTTTTTATGCAAAATATATCTTCATTACACACTTCATGGCATTACCCATATTTGTTCCTAGCTTGAGCAGAAAAGCACTGTGCGATAAAGGCTGTTCACGCAAAGGATATCTTTCGAAAAAGTATGGGCTGATGTTGCTACCCTCACAAAATTTCCCTTATGACACACTGCAAGCAAGCTGGAAGAAAAGACGGACATTTAACTCCATCTTATTCAGTTATTCATTTGGATGTATATTAAAATTTCCTGCAGAATGGTAAAAAGATATCTTGCTGAGGAAAAACAAAACCTTCCACTTAAGGACAGGGATAACAATTCATGCTCAAATCTAACAATAATGACACTATAATCAGTCTATTTCTTACCTTACTACATTTCTCAATATCAACATAAAGGCATTTTTAGCAGAAATACAGAAATTTTTTCCATAGACTGCACACTGAAATAAACAAAACATAACATAGATACATTATTAGGGTTCTTCGGGAGGTATTGGTCCTATAGGTCTATAGTAAACACAATCATGTCTTTCGCGTGTTTTCTACATGACACAGGACAAGTTTCTAAATAGGAAGGGACATAACTCTAGTTATGATATGGCATGTTCCAACTATCTGGAAATTCTTTAAACTGCACGATTTTATCAGAAAAGGAAATGTGCAGATAAACAAGGCTCCACTGTATTCGTAAATTTACATCTTTCTGCAGAGCCTAGTCCTTGTTGTTGGACTGAAACAATTATCATATTCAATGCACATTCTTACAGCTATATCCTCATTGTATTTTAAACTATATTAATATCTATCACATGATGGGACTGTGATTTACTTTATCCAAATAGCTGCATATGAAGTGGTGAACCACTAAAAACAACATATTCCATACAAGTGTGGCCAATAAATATTCAGAACCTAACCCACTTTTTTCTCCATACAGTATTGGCTAAATTTTCTATAAAGTGAAAATTTATTTTGTTAAGAATTTCTCAATCATGTGACTTTGCACTGACAGCTAGCGTTAGGTTCTAAGTAGGCTTTGATCCTGTAGCCAAATTCTTAACCATTAAAATTATAATATATAAGTATTACATAAAATATCATTCTTACCATAATGTATGCATTCTTATTGAGAAATTTCAGGAATTTTTCCAGACACCAGAAAAAGCATTTGAGACATCTACAAATACATATTAAAAATATAGCTAAAGAATTATAAATGCAATCAAATAGAAATAGAAAAATATAGACCTGTTATACTATACATTTACAATAGTTTTACATGAACAGCTTGAAAATATCAAATTCATCATCAAATGGCTACATTGCTGTGTAATAAATGTATTGGGCACTATATTAATAATGGAAAGCTCTCTTTTTGTTGAAAGGTACTATAGAACCGTCATTCATTCTGGTTTAAGAAGAATTTGCACACAATGGTTTCAATAATTTTGAAAAGTTTTCTTAATATACTTCCCATCCACAAAAATTCTCTGAAAACAAATGAACTTTGGTGCCCCACCCCCTCTAAAAAAAACCCAGATAAATTTCAGAATATACATAATACATATATAATACGTAATACAAGAAATATAATTCACTTAGAGCCTCTACTTACTTCATTAAAAATTTTGCCACAGGATTTTCTGAACCTTTCAATTTGTGGTCTAAATACTCTAGAAACACTCGGATCAACTGTACTATAGCTATTAACAGTGAACCAAATGCCAGAGTTCCAAGATGGTATCTGAAAATAACAAATTTAAATGATAACTTCACATAAATAAAATACAGTCTTACATCCTATGTTATTAGGATAATGCAGTGTGCAATGAGGGAAATTTGACCTCTTTTGAATTTTTAACTGTCAGTGTCAAAGTATCAAGAAGACACGCTATTCTCTAAGATCTTTCATTATTGCAGATAATGTTATGAACTAATTTCAGTCAATTTTAACTTTCCATATCTTCTCCAAATAGATTTAGCTAAAAATATCCAAATATGAAAATGTGGCCAGTGGATTGAAATATAGCTTCATGTCATTTGGTGACATAAACAAACATGGAGTCTAAATTAAGCTACAACAAGTGGATTTGAGTTTATTGCATTTCTAGGTCCACATACATTTCTTAAAACTGATAATTCACTATAAACACCATTTATCAAGTAATTTTCTTGATTTTACTCTAAAAATGCAGAAAGTCTTCTTTAAGTTTGTAAAGAAAGTTCCTACCTAATAGATCTCCAGAATGAGCTCAGTATAGGAAAAGCAGGGATATCTTTAGGTTTATTGAATGCCCAATAATAGGAGGCGAACGCTCCAGCTAAAGTCATCTGTCCTAATGCCACCACAAAATTAACCAACCAGAATAACATGAATAGATTGTAAATCTGTAGATAGATGGTATACCTGAAAAATATTGTGATGGCTGTGATTATTTCGGTAGAATAACACTAGTATGTATTGGGTATTGACAATCATGTCATAATACAATAGGTATCATGATTTAAGGGCAACTACACGTATTGCGCTATGGGTAAATATAAAAAGTGATATATTCTGAATCTTCGAAATTCATACTGGCCAGACAAAACCAATGTTGATGCCCAAAGTTTTGCCAAATTTGGCTTTTGTCGCGATGAAAATTCTCAAAAATGAGCAAGCCAAACCGAAACAAAAAGTGAAAGTGAAATTTGATGTCTGACTATATATGTCATTGTACAAAATTTTCCTCCAATAAACTTTAATCTAACAGCACTATCTTAACCTTTTATACTGATTGCTTTTTTTATAGACATTCATAAAGTATACTATTCAATATACATGGATGCCACAATGTCAGAGTACTGAACAATTAAAAATCTACAGAAAAAATCATGGTACTTACTCTCCAGAGCCATATTTCAAATATCCACAAATCTGACCAGCAGTATTATTTGTCTATAATCAAAAAAGAAGAAAATTTGTAGGTAGTTATATCACAAATATTTACTAGTTAAGGAATATAGTTAAATTAATACCGGTATATAAGAGAAACTTGAATATATTGAGAGAATATAGAATATATAGAGACAAGAAAGAAACTTACAGAATTATCACAGGGTAACTGTTGTGAGAAACTTACAGAATTATCACAGGGTAACTGTTGTGAGAAACTTACAGAATTATCACAGGGTAACTGTTGTGAGAAACTTACAGAATTATCACAGGGTAACTGTTGTGAGAAACTTACAGAATTATCACAGGGTAACTGTTGTGAGATACTTACAGAATTATCACAGGGTAACTGTTGTGAGAAACTTACAGAATTATCACAGGGTAACTGTTGTGAGAAACTTACAGAATTATCACAGGGTAATTGTTGAGAAAAACTTACAGAATTATCACAGGGTAACTGTCGTGAGAAACTTATAGAATTATCACAGGGTAACTGTTGTGAGAAACTTACAGAATTATCACAGGGTAATTGTTGAGAGAAACTTACAGAATTATCACAGGGTAACTCTCGTGAGAAACTTATAGCATTATCACAGGGTAACTGTCCTGAGAAACTTACAGAATTATCACAGGGTAACTGTCATGAGAAACTTACAGAATTATCACAGGGTAACTCTCGTGAGAAACTTATATAATTATCACAGGGTATCTGTCTTGAGAAACTTATAGAATTATCACAGGGTAACTGTCGTGAGAAACTTATAGAATTATCACAGGGTAACTGTCGTGGGAAACTTACAGAATTATCACAGGGTAACTCTAGTGAGAAACTTATATAATTATCACAGGGTAACTGTCTTGAGAAACTTATAGAATTATCACAGGGTAATTGTTGAGAGAAACTTACAGAATTATCACAGGGTAACTGTCGTGAGAAACTTATAGAATTATCACAGGGTAATTGTTGAAAGAAACTTACAGAATTATCACAGGGTAACTGTCGTGAGAAACTTACAGAATTATCACAGGGTAATTGTTGAAAGAAACTTACAGAATTATCACAGGGTAATTGTTATAAAAGAAATTTACAAAATTATCACAGGGTAATTTTTGAAAAAGAATCTTACAGAATTATCACAGGGTAATTGTTGAAAGAGATTTTCTGATTGTTCCTTCACAGCTTCTTGGTTTGTTGAACCATTACCATATGTGATATTATTTTCACTTAAATTCTGACCGCGACCAATTGACTGTAGGTAGCTATACACAGATTAAGGAATAATTTTTCCATCCTCACTGACCCCTGTTCCAACTTGTTTTATTGAGTGTTTAGTTGATTATACAAATCGAGCTTCCATGTTCTTAAAATCTCGTTAAACTTAAATCATGTTTCAAATTTATCTTAAAATGGCTGCGTCAGGGTAAAAGCTAAAAACTTTCAGCATAACTTATGAAAGCCAAAATTAAAAGGACATGACATAAAAATTCTGTTAAATGCCTTAATTCACCAGTTTTATGGATTGATTTGGGTCTTGAATATATGTAACTAATCTTCAAAGATACTAGAACTGCACAAAAATGGCATACCGGGTAATCCCTTCAAATATACTTCAAATTAATAATGAATTTCACTTTTTATTTATCGTTGTCTTTTCTATATATTCCGGAGTGATTCAAACCTTGCTTTAGGAACCTGATCTTAAAAACCATATTTTGAGATTTTGCCACTTTTGTTTCATGGATGTTATCATTTTAAAGGATACACAGCCACAACAGCCCACAGAGCAACTACACCTAGTTGAAGTACAAATGGAAACAGTGGCCATACTAATGTAAATATCATAGTCCCCACAGCTCTAGAAAACATAAACAAATCAATTTATCAGCAAAGGGTTGAACCATCGGGCATAAAACAAAAAGTTGTTGTGGGTACAGCCATGCTAACATCAGTTAAAAGAAGCCTTCTATCTATACTTCCAAGATGACTAATATTCCAATTTCCTCTTTTGAGAGTTAAAGGGATTGTAAAGAGTTTTCAAAATTTTTTTATGTGTGTATCGGGGACACTCATAGCATCAATTTGCACCATTTCAATGTTCATTCTGACGTCTGTGGTTCCTGCTATTCCACCAAAACTAAGTGTCACTAATTGCAAAGGACTTGGCAATTAGTGATGTCATCAAACACTTAGTTTTAGTGGAATTGCAGGATCCACAGACGTTTGATTGAAAATCGGAAGGTTTCAAATTGATGCCATCCCTTTAAAACATCTCATTTTTAACTCAATTCCAAAAAGGGGCATAACTCCTATTCTCAATTTTGTGTGTTAGACGTTTTTGTCTTCAAAAGTGACACTGAAATTAGTGAAATGTGGATATAAATGTATTTTTAGCAACACAATGATGTTCATGTAGCAATGGTACCATTGAATTTCCGTCTGTTATGTATTGCTTCACAATATGCTTCTGAGCATAAATGAACAGAGTTTGGTGTCCATGAAATGAAATGATTTCACAATATCAAAAGTTCCCTCACACCATAGTGATGACCAGTTGCCCATGGATACGAATGAGTTTCATCCGAAACTTATGGCCACTGTTCATTATTTGCAACAATAGAAACTGGTGGTCACTATGGTGAGAGGACGCCTTTACATGATGTACCTTGTCACTTACCTACTGCCTTCTTTGATTAAAGATATAGCAATTCTTATTCTCGAACATAAAAACAAGAGAATCAAGAAAACTATTACAAATATTATTGCCGCTGTTATACCTGAAATATATATTAAAATTTTTAAATAATAAGGTCTGGATTTATCAACAGTGCATGAGTCAGATAAGATTTAACCCTTGATCAATGATCAACAATGATCTCAGTCTTTCAAAGTTTCGGTATGCCTTGTATGGGGGAGGGGGCAAACATTTTCCCCTTGGCCTTACCTATGGTCATGAAAACAAATCTACCTACAAAATTTCCTTAATACATGTATTCTAATTAATAGAAAATATCAGATAACTCTGATGACCATTGTAGTAGTGGCGGCTTTCGGGCACAAAGCAGACCATGCTCACTCTCTTCAAAACACCTGATGGTACTTCTCTTTGGAGAAGTCCACTACTATACCATCTTTACTTCCGATTTTGCCATTCTTTGGACCAGATTTTTGATTGACGGAATTGACTTGCTTTTAAGGATTATTATTCTAGTTTCTGATTGGTTGGTCTATTGATTTGACAGTATTTTACAGATTTTATATCGATGAAACAATGGTTGGGTTGTAATTTTGGTCATTTTAACAAATTTTTCATTTTACATAACTTAATGAAAATTAGCAACAATCCTAAGGTCACATTCAAAATTCCTGGCATTGTTCTGCAAGCAGACTGTTTATATCTAATCTATTCTAATAATACTCACCAACTCCCAGGAACAATTTAGCTTTAGAAAATGTCAGATTTACCACGGCCAGGGTGAAAGAGAAAGCTTCATCATTATCTTTATAGATAAGATAGTTATAGAAACAAACAGCACTACCTGTAGATAAAAACATTAGAATATTAGGCACCAAGATATACATTTATTCTTCAACACTGTCCAATCTATAACATATTTCTATTTTGTTTCATTTTGGCGAATAAACCTTTTATTTACAGTATGTCATGTAGTTTCTAAACCAGCCAATCAACACACTTCTACATAGTCATTATTCAGGTTTGTTTTGTAAATAGGATCTCATACAAATTATATGAGAATAGTATAAAGGTTGTTTTGATTGGTAAATATTACCGCTTCCTACAAAGCTATTTATTTACTATAAGATGTAGGTTTCTGTGATGATGATTGCTAGAAGATGAAAATCTTTGATGCTGTAAGCTTAAGTTGAGAAAATTGTTGATGACCAAATGGAAATTTTTCTAATTATTACTAAGAGTTTCCATACAACAGTCAGACATTGTTATATTACATATTGGCTTTTTGACTGGAACATCAAGACTAAGGCACTTCAGAATGAGTTAGCTTTAAGAGAGTCCACAAGACTGATGTTATTTTCATTAAATTACACAAGTATCAATACAATCAAATATAAACATACCACCGGCAAAAAGAGCAACAAATGCCAAGATAGTGAACCATACCATTATACCAGCAATCCATCTCATAACAACAATCCAGATAAAACAAATTATCATACCCAAAAATAATCCACTGAAAATATCAAATACATATACTGTATAATTGTTAATATATTGCACATGTCAAGTGTACATACACACCCCTTCATACCCAAAATTAGCACAAAAGCCTCAGTTATTGTTCCCACTCAACAAATCTACCATCACCAGAAGGTAAAACTACCAACCTTAAGGCATTTTTCCATCTTTGCCAGCATCCAATTCAAATTCAATGCAGCATTATGTACAACTTTTACAATACAGAATATTTGATTGGATGAGTTATGTACTGAACTGAACATAACTTTCTAAAGAATGTCTTCAGATTTATGGTGAAAGAAAGTATCTAATCTATACAACTTACATGAGTATCATCCACCATGTTGAAGTGAGATCAGCTATAGCCTTTTCAGCATATTCCTTAGCTGCTAAAAACTGCTCAAAAACACTGAAAATTTTGAAAGGAATAATAATTATGCCATTTGTGAAATCATCATTATTATTTTATGACTCCATGAAAATACTATGATAACAGGAATTTATGGCCTTGTGGATATACTTAATCATATTAAACTATATTGTTTCTAAAATTCATTGTCATTTCTAAATTCAGTGAAATCTTTTCATTTTTTTTTTTGAATTTTGAATTTATTTCTTGATATGGTTGATGAATGATGAATTGATCATAATAAATGATATGAATTATAATGTTGATGAATAAATGATAATATTGATGAATGAATGATGCTGGATGATACAATAATAAATTAATGAAACTGAATGATGTAAAGATGATTAGAAAGTTGAATTGATTGATGATGAATTGATTGATGAAGAATTGTTTCATGAAGGATAATGAAAAGATGAATAAATGATATGAATGATAATGTTGATGAATGAATGATACTGGATCATACAAGAATAAATGAATGATTAATGATGATTGATAGTAAATTAAGGAAGCTGAATGATGAATAAAGATGGTGAGAATGTTGAATTGATTGATTATGATGATGAATGGATTGATGATGAATTGATTGATGATGAATTGTTTGATGATGGATGATGAAATGATAAACAAATGATCATTGATGATGGATAAATGATGCTGAATGATAATGATTTATAATAATCTATTAACAAGATTTATGGCATATAATGCTACTCCTGAATAATTACAGTATAAGTTGTATACCACATTTTAAATGATTAATAGTAATACATGATGATGAATGATGGATAACACTGTTTAAGTAAATGATGCCTATACTATCATCATATACCTCTATAACAGCATTATACAGAAAAAACAGCTCTGAAAAAAATATTAGAGAATGCAGAGAATTCAAGAGGTAAACTATATTTGGTTGAATATATACAGCGTCTACATTTCATGTAGAGTATTAACTCATGTTGCATTTAATCCTGGCTTTAACCCTTTGAACACTGAATGTAAATGAAATGAAATGTCATCTATCCTGTACTCCTATTAATATAAATCATAAAGTGTATGGTTTAATGTCAAGGCTTGTTAATCAGCGGCATAGCTAGGATTTCAATGACAGAAAGCCATCCGAGTGCACTGGCGTCCATTAGAGATCACTAGTAAGAGGGGCCTCTTGTTGGATAAGTTCCTAATGTGGGTATCTGGAGAATGCATGTATTGCGATTTTGGAAGTGAAAGTATATTTTTATGGCCTAAAAGGGGAGGGGACATTACAAAACTTAACGCCTTAATGCGCCATTGTTGGAAATAGCCATGCGCAGGTATACATAACTTATTCATATGGCGGCTTCTAGTGTTAAAAGGGTTGAATTCAATTTGCTCATGAGAGTACACTTTCAAGTTCCAAAGTAAACATATATATATATATTGCATGCTTTAAATACCAAGGAAAAAGAGGAAAAAGATTCATTAATTTCATGCAAATCAGCAACTTCCTGAAACCTTGAACAAAATAAAATATTCACTTTCAGGCCACATACCTCAACTGGAAACTTAAAAAAATAATACATGCATCAAACTATGCCTTTCTCCTTATAATGTCATGCCTATGCCGTTTCCTTCGTGCATGTAAATGATAATTGATAGAAATATAATTGTAGTATGTATGTAGGAGGCCTACTGTTGTGTTTTCTGTAATTCTGCATCAGTAAAGTTCATAGAATCTGTGACACTGTAAATGTTAATATGATACACATAATAAATGATGACTTATGAATATATACTTTATCTTATCAATTTCATGATGTTATGATTTTTATGGTTTAAACATTAATTAAGCAAAATTCTGTTTCACGAAAAAATGAATTTGAAAAAATGTTAATAAAATATTATTTCTTTTCTTTTTCCATAACTGTGTTTCTACTGAGACAAAAAGCCGACTTTAAGATAGCTTTCGTGTGTTTCCACTGGGCAAATTGCCGAACCGAAACCATCTCTTTTTGCGTACAGCAATTTATTGGAGGCAAATTGAAAGCTTGCTTGAAGCCGGCCTTCACTTTACTCAGTGGAAACGCAAAAATCCAGCTTTATCTCCTTCGGCAATAAGGGATGTACTGGTCTTTTTGTTCTATTGCATTTCTTACTAGTCTAAACGGTAGTCTTGTACATCAAGAGTTGTAAAAGTTTTGGTGTTCGGCAATAAAGAGTTTAGAGCCTAGAGCTAGCTTTGCTTTAAAATTCTCAGTGAAAAAACGGTTTATATAGAGGATGTTAAAAGAGCGCTTATGTAATATGAAATTTATGAAATGACTTGCCAGATTTAATATAACCCCAGACTTGACAAGGTAAATATTTAATCTTTTAGTTAGTTTTGTCATGTTAGCTTATAAAAGTATGCTGCACGCAAGCGCTATGGTATAAACATAAATATCTAGCTAGCCCAGCTATTCGGGCTGAACCACTTTCCATATAAATTACCGGTACCGGTACTGTAAATCAGTAGAAATTGACTAGAGTGATGTCAAACACAAGATACCAGTCAAACCATCTTGCTTATCCAGGCTGGAACGCCACATATAACCAGGCCCTAAATCTACATTATCTAAATCATTATAAGCAAGCGTTAGTCAAATTTACTGCAAAAATATCTTGATTACATAAGTTTCTTATTTTGATTTTCTTAATCTATTTTCTTGCTTTTTATCAAGAATAGATAAAGTACAAAATACATGACACTTACGCAATGGCTGACTTGACGTCTGAAGCAGTGACATTATTGTTCTCAGCATCTCTCAATGTTTCGTTACCAATTTCAACAGCACCATCCACTATATTTATTAATTCATCTATTGGTAAACAACGATTGATGACTGAAATATAAATATGATATTATTATGTGTATTATTTATAATTTAGACATTGACTTGCATGAGGTTATAGTTCAAATATCAAAATTCTTTTCCATAGAATTAAAACATAGTAATTTTCCCCATTGTATAGGCTACAATACTTAATGGGATTGAAAAGAGGTTTTCAAAACTGCCATGTTTTAAGACATCATTGGAACTACATACTGCTAACTGAAGATATTGGAATGATGCTAATTGATAGTGTCCCCAACACACATACGTTTTTTAGACCTCTTTACAATCATTTATAAGATAAAGAGAGACTATAGAATGAGATTAGATCACCTGTAATTTACAAAGCATGAATTATAGAAACAGAAACAAAAAATTTGACTAAAACCTACCTGAAGTACTTTTGAGATAATATGCTGCACATTCTTCATCTCCTACTAGTGTATTAACATCCTGTAAATAAAATTCATAAATTTCTCTCTAGTTTAAAATATCAGAAATATTATAGACTGAAAGCATGAAATTGAATACTTGGGAATACCAATTAGCAACTCAGGGGTAACCATTGTATGTACAGATTAGTTTATCTTTCTTATTACCTATGATATTCTGTATATAATTATTATACTAATCTTACCTTGGTTGCTTTATTTGCATTGTATGTACAGATTAGTTTATCTTTCTTATTATCTATGGCATTCTGCAGGTAAACATAATTATCTTTCGGACATTCTGCGAGGCAAACCTAAAATATAAAATACATTTTCATAGCTTTTAAAATTATACTTCAAATGCTGCAGACGGTCGCTTTCCAATATATCAATAATATCGTGCAGATCATGCAATTGAAAGGAAAAAAGTCTGACTGGATGATGACGCTCTGTCTTGCAGACGATAAAACAATCAACAGCAAATAACAAACTGGTTTGATGTTATAAATCCTTGCGACAATAAGATTATCTTGTCATGGAACCGAGGGCACACGTGAGATTTTACTAAAGATTCGAGTCCCGCATCCCAATTTGTTTGCCACATTGAAAGAAGTGATCAGTAAATAATAAATAATTTACCTGAGGTGTAGGACAACCATTAACAAATACTCCTGGTCCCATTCGACCACATTTTACCAAATCAAAGAAAAAAAGGTGATCTTTTCCTCTGAAAATAGTAAATTTTACTTTAATATAGTGAAAACTGTTTTTTCTGTATCACGATTCAAGGCAATAAATATTCACGCTGTTTGTTTTTTGTACGTTCCTATTTGTCATGAGTATGTTAAGAAACTTTGAAAAGTATGCTTACTCTTCTAGACACCTGATACCACTTTTCATTATGAAATAATAATGATAATGATATACTTCCTCAAGTGAAAAGTTCATTTGCTGCAACTAATGTTTCACCAATATGTAGTTTGGATTTCGGGTTTTTGTTTTGTGATTCGGATCGTTAGTACTTGGTTTATTTATTCACAAAGTAGCCAATCAGCAAAATATATTAAAAATCATAAAGGTGCAAATAGATGAGGTACAGAATTTGTTTCTAGATTTTGCTCCAGGTTGCTACACCTGCCGACCATGATCTTACGAGATTGTTATTTAGATTGTGTTCTGCCAAATTTTGGTGCAGAAGCATTAAAAAGATGTCATTTTCAATACACTATGGTTAGATAATACAAGTCAATATAGCCTATATAAAGCTGATATAAAAATTCACTTCGATTAAATGGGCCAAATTTGATATACCATCTAACTTGCGTATTGAGATAAAAAATTAATGATAATGTATTATCACTGGCTTACCTCATGTTACCATACCCACATAAATTACCTTCCGAATCTTGAGGATACAGTAATAATTTAGGATCTCCATAGGCAAAGGCTGTAATACAAAATATTAAAAGACAGCAGTTTAAACAAACTTTTTGAGCTCCCCCTCTTCCAACTCCCTAAAAAATAGTTTGCACCCCATTTCATATTCTAACAAATTTGAAAATACGATTTTTATACTTCTTGACTCTCCAATGAGTCAGTCTGCTCCCAATTTATACTTCCCTGTCTCAAGAGGATGGTGACATCACTGGTATTAATACATCAAAAAGTGGTTTATCTCGAGATTTTAGTCTATAGTTTTCCTTAATTTGAGCATTTAAATTTTCTACCGACGATTTACTTAAAATCCGACTTTCCCTTAAAGTAAAAAAAACTCACCAAAATATGCGACAACTGCTAATCCAAATATAAAGATTATAAATACTAAACAACATATAATATCTGTACACGATCTGAAATACAGAATACATTATAAAACACCACAATACAGTCAATTAAATATTGGTATATCAAGATGAATTTTTGTTGTTGTTATGTTAAAGGGACAGGGGTGCCATTTTGAGGTGTTGATTTTAGTCTTGAATATATGTAAATAGACTTCAGAGAACTAGAAATGTACGAAAATCACATAATTCTCAATTGAACTGAAATCAGTCTCTATTAGCTTTTGCCCCCAATGCAAATGTGGCCGCCCCTCTTGACACATTGGGCTGGTTACGGGCCTGTGTCCACATGAAAAAGGATATATAGACCAAAAACATAAATTGCTTACCTGTTTTTGATTGGTCCATTAAATGAAGGATCATATTTTACTGGTTTGCCTGAAATATATAAAAATTCAAATCATTAAGCAAGGTGTTTTTAAGTGCCAGTTGGAATGAGGCCCTAACCAACAAACATACAAGAGGGCATTACTTAGTATTATTAAATTTTATATGACAAAAAGAAACACTTGTGTGTGGTCGTAGAACCAGTCTACCAGGCTGGGTGTACAAATAGGTTGAGATCAGGTTGAGATTCTCCCAAAAAATTCTTGGAAAAGAAGCTTTGATTTGGTGCAATCTGACACATATTTTAGGGCAAAAACGTATAAAAATCATATTTTTGAATGAATTGAGGATACAAGGTATAAACTATTCATCTACCTAGCCAGCCTCCCTTTCCTGTATCCTTCGCCCCAGCTTTCCTGTACCATTAGGCCCCCCCACCCCCCTTTTGTCCTGTACCCTCTACTGGTGTCTCCACTGCTTGTTTGAATTATTTCTCGTCTTAGTAAGTTCGCTTTTTTGAACAAGAAAATAAAAAAAAAGACCCAGAAAGAAAAAAATATTTTTTTCCATGGTTTTCCCAACATGCAGTTCTCAAAAAAGCTCTACGAAAAATATTCATCAGATACTTTTGATTAATTACTGTATTAGAATATACAACGATTTTAATTTTAATGATTATTTTAATGACAAGTATAATATCAGCTTCTAAATAGTATAGATGGTCATAGAATATAACCCTGGTTTCTAACTTGGGAGTTCCCAAAGTCCTCTTGGACAGTTTTAACCAGTATTTTTGGTCCAAATGTGTAAAGGTGACAAAAATTAGGAACCAAGACTCTATAGTAGGACAATGTATATATCAGTTAAAGAATGTCCCAATGAAGTTTTCTAATTGGCCAGAATATGGTCCAAGTCACCAAATTGTACAGGGTATTATATGGTTTAGCTATATAATATTTGTTGTAAATACAGGATACTCTGCATAATCCGACATACACTCAGAGCGCAAAAAAATGTCGGTTTTGCAAGAGTGTCAGAGAGTGCTACCGTACATATGCTTTTTTTTTGGAATGCGGGACCAGAAGATGATGTCGGATTACGCAGAATGTCGGAATACTCAGATGTCAGATATCACAGAGCACACTGTATATATGGTGATCTTTATATGGTATATTTTGGGGTTTACTTCCATAGTTTTGGACTAACAAATCTGTCTAAGATCCTTTAATCATCATATGATGAAGTAGATCGTGACTTAGTTCTTACCCAAATCATGGGTGTATATATATAGACATCCTATAAGGGCTATAGATAGGTCATGACAAATAAAACAATACAATATCAAAGGGGTATATATATATATATATATAACTAGAAAACTGATACCTAACATGAGATCACTGTATTTATATAGGAAGAGTTGTCATGTTGAACTTTATTGAGAGTTGGGAAATACTTTAATAGTTAACTCAAGCTTAAAGAGACAGGTGTGCCATTTTGGGGGGTTGATTTTAGTGTTGAATATATGTAAATAGTCTTCAGAAGTACTAGAAATGTACGTAAATCACAAAATTCCTTCAAGAATACCTCATACTAGGAATTTTACTCACTATTTCTATATCTGTCTTTTTTACCTACCTACCCAATTCTACCTAAGTGTTTCCAAACGCAGGGGATCAGCTTTCTCCTCTATATTTGGCTCATTTTCATCATCACTAATTTCATATTTGTTACTCCCGGTATTACTATATGTATAATCGGTGTTAAAGTCATATATCAGGGGATGGTTTTTCTAATATCTGTCTAAACGATGTTCAAATGTTTTTATGTTCCTATCTGAAACATTATTGTCACGTAGGTTATTCCACACTTCTGTGAAGTCTGCTTCTGTTTTTAACTAGTTTGAGCGAATTCCCTCTTGTTGTTGAACTGGTGTTACATGTAAAAAGACCATCAGTTACCCTTCGATCGTATACTTCAGTAACTATTTTATATGTTTCTATCATATCGCCTCTGTGTCTTCTCAATTTTAATGTTGGTAATTTCAGTGTTTTTAGTCGATCTTCGTATGATATGTCTTTTAGGTTTGGTAACATTTTTGTAGCTCTACGTTGGACGTTTTCTATTACCTCAATATCCTTCTTACGGTAGGGGCTCCATACGCTGCTAGCATATTCCAAGTGTGGACGAGTTAATGCTTTAAAAAGTAGGCTGCAGTTTTTGTAATCTAGGTACTTAAAAGTTCTTCTTATAATTCCAACTATTTGGTTTGCTTTATTGACGTGAGTCTGTATGTGTTTATCAAATCACAGAATCTATAGTCACTCCTACATCTTTCTCGGATTCGACTGTTTGAAGGATAACTTCGGCCCAATCGTATGTTGACATTTTATATCGTCCATCTTGTCCGGAGGTTGGCTTTGATGATATTGGTAGAACCTTACACTTATCAGGGTGGAAACGCAGCAACCATTTTTCATTCCAATTGCGTATATATATCACAGAGTGTCTAAAATTGACAAGTCATCATTTTTACATTCAAACACAGATAATTCTGGACACACATGGATTTGAAAGCTCAAATTTTGACGGTCAGCTGTGAACACTATTACTGATTAGCTCAGCTAAAAAATTACAATCTGAGACTAAAGTATGATTGGTCAAAAAAATGACCTACCTGTCCCTTTAAGTACGATTTAGCTAAAATCATTCCCCTTTTCTAACGGCCTTATATTTCTAATTTTTTTTACCGTTTTTATTAAGTCATGGGTATCTTTAAAACATTAATTCTTAATATAAGTACATTTTGATCATAACATGAAAATATTTGCCAGTTACAAAATGTTAAATCTTTTTAAAAAAACAGCTTAAAATGATAATACACAATCTGATTAAAACTCATACCATCCATGATCTGACAAGATTCCTCTTTGAATAATGTTCTGTGCAATTTTGACCCAAAAACACTGTTAAAAAGTCATGTGAGTTAAGTATTTATTGAACAGAGTAGATGTTAGGCTGATATTAAATGATCCAGAACAATTTCATCAGATCATGGTTGGCAGAAACATAATATCCAGATCTGCATTTTGCTGAAAGCTTTAGAACTTCATATCATTTTATCATCAATCATAATTTTCCGTGGAAATGTTAGTAACTATTGTAACAATATGCACAGAATGTTATAGTTTAATTGTAAAGGAACTATAAGTCAAGATTCTAATTCTGTAAGAGATTCAGATAGCTAAATATGAACTTCACAGGTTAAGATAAAATCTAATAAACAATATTTGTAAAGTAAACTTAACATTTATAATTATTCTTTTTTCTAAATAGAGAACTTTATTTGAAGGTAAAGAGATTTTACATAAAGGTCACAAAAAACCACCATTGTGTTTTGAATTTCCTAATAACTGTTAAAGTTATTGCTCCTAAAATTCATTATCATATAAACTTTGAGAAATATGGCCTGGTCTTACCTGTTTTATTATCAGTAGTATTGTTTTCCAGTTCTATATCCTGATTAACAGGTCGTTTCTTTCCCATGTTTGAAAATAAACTGTCTACTATTCACAAACTTTCTAGTATTACCTGAGTGATTAATATTAAGAGTATTCAGTCATGCTAATCCACTCTAAAATCCATATCAGATTTCTATGAAAGACAAGATATACTGAACTATAGTTACTTAAAGGAACACTTTCTACTATCTTTATCATGGGGGTCAAAACTTACACCACACTGAATTTTGAAAGCACTGGCCTTGGCTTCATAACTTTTCTCACTCTGAAGAGGATTCGAACTCATGGAAATTAATTGATGTATATAGCATACATAAAATGATATTTAACCAACTTTAAGATTAATGGAAATCTAAATGTTTTCTTAATTTCCGCTAGCTTCACTTTTCAGAAGTGAAATCTAATATACTAGCGCAATGGAAGTTTACACTTATCATAAACAGCACATAGGCTAAATCATTGGCTCAAAGGAGCAAACACTACTTTCAAACTATTGGATCACAAACTATCAAAATCACAACTATCAAATAGGCTAAATCATTGGTTCAATGGAGTAAACACTGCTTTCAAACTATTGTATCACAATTATTAAAATCACAACTATCACAAAAATCACTGCATACAAACTATCAAAATCAAATAGGTTAAATCAAACACTGCCTACAAACTATGAAAATCATAAACATCATTAGTCCAACATAATAATATATTTAAGTAGTTTTTTTCACAAACCTTGGACAATGTCAAACCTGATCCATAATCCAAAATCAATGAAATGTTAAAAGAACATGACACCAATCCCTACCAATATCATTGATTTTCTTATCTTAAAAAACATAAACTATGATAAACATAATAATATATAGGCCTATATCAAAATCAATATTATAATAAATATATATAAAATACATACATGTATTATGATAAACAGTTATATCTTAAAGCTAGCCAAAGTTCAATTGAAGCATACAACTTAAAGATAGTATCTGTGGAATTTTCAACTTGCTTTCTAACTTAAGGTAATATTTGAAGGTTTGAATGAAATGAAATGAATGGAGTTTTATGTCTTACTTTTCTGCACCATTTGAGCCAATGAAGACGGGCAATTTGCCAGAACAGCAACATTCTTTTTCAATTTCCAACTGTCGAGGGATCTTTAACGTGCACAGCCTGTAGCACACGGGGCCTCGGTTTATTGTCCCATCCGAACGACTAGATGCTTTAAAATCTATGTCAGCCCTTCGTACCTGCATCACTGACAGAGGGAAACCAGGTTGAAAAATTCAAAGGCATCATCTCGACCTGTGCCTAGATTGAATCCTGAACCTTCAAATTAGCAAGCGTCTAACTCACTGAGCCCTTTGAAGGTTTGAAGAGATGAGATTGGGAAAAGTACAGAGCAACAAAGATACCTTCACAAGAGTAAGAAACTTGGCACATAAAGTATGGATACACAACTTCGCGATATGATACATGTATTGAGGCATGTCATATTGCGATACATAGATTCACAGATGTATTGTGCTAGCAC